AGACCCCTTATGCTTTTGGAGCATGCTAGAGAGTCAGTGTTCATCTCCCCTCCTTACTCTGTCACTTATTTAACACCACCAAGATGCCCTTTCCACTTTTCCTGTTCCCCCATTGTTTCTTATTTTGCTTGTCATTGCCTTCATGAATCTGAACTCTCACTTAACAAGGCAGGACTTTAATAGACACCTCTAGCTGAGTGGAGCAAGTCTTTCTCTTTCATGGAGTGATTCAGCCTCTCAGCAATCAAGGTGTAATCTTACCCTGTTTGTCTTTCTTGGCTTTTTCCATGAATGTTTGCCTGGGGACTACTTTTTAGATGTTGAAAACGATTTAGACTGAAATCAGTACTTCAGGGCCAGAGCTACAGAGCTAGTTTCAAATCCTGAGGATGTTAAAAGCCTGTGTTTTGTTTTTTAGTTTTTCGTTGTTTTTCTTTTGAGAGGTTTTTTTATTTTTTCCTAAATGACCAGAGACAGAGATAGAAAGTGGGAAATCACTTCCCAGGGGTATGGCCACAGCACAATACAATCCCTTCTCCCCCACTCTCTTCTCAGGATTTTAGGCAAGCACTCACCTGTGCCTGACATGAGTCTTAAGCTGTCAGGTCTGGGACTCGAACCACAGTGTTCTACATGGGAGTCCAACAACGTAACCAATACACCACCTGCTGGACCCAAAAGCCTGTGTTTTTGTCCTTATTTTACTGTTTTCTATATTGATTTCCCATTCACCGAGCCCCTGTAATCCTTGTATAATTAGAATTCAAAATTTTTCTTATCAGATCAATGACTTGATTGATTTAATTTTATGAAAGTTTAGACAGGTTATGAGTCTATTATGTATTTGATAGTCTAATCAGGATACCTAACTAAAAATTAAAAAAAAAATATTTGTATTGTACTAATGATGACTCATGAGCATGCATGAGAGAGATCCAGAGAGAGAGAGAGTGGGAAGCACTCTTTTTAGAGTCTTCTTATTCTGTAATACCCCTTGCCTTAGCCCTCCAACCACTCAGGGGATTGGGAATATGCATGCAAGCACCTGGCACGTTTTTCAGGCCATCAGGGGGTTCAAATCTGCAGCCATGTGGCTCCCACCACTGCAGTTCAATTTATTATCAGCTGGGCTCCAGAATGGGCACTATTTTTTTTTTTTCTTTTTTTGATGAGGTACCTGGGAAGATGCCTCCTGGACTAACTTGTATTTGTGAATGTATGCCTGGTGATACTCTCCAAACAAGTTAAAAGGGTGAACATTTGGTATAAAGTAAAAGCTATAAAATCACAGAAAAAGTCCTTCATATGCAATTTAGGATAATAATTATACTTAATAATGGAAAATACAGTCTATACATGACCTGCTCTGGGAAGTTAAGGGTGAGAACTGATTGTATCAAGCCAGAAATGAGAAAATTCACAGTTCATGAAAACCCAAATACAGTTTTCTAAGGGTGGACTAGCATGGGGTAAGAGCACATCTTTGTCTCTGTGTGTGTGTGTGTATATATATATACACACACATATATATATATACACACATATACATATATATGTGTATAGACTATTAAAACTATATATATAGACTATTAATATATATATATATATATAGTTTTAATGTTGAGATAATTTTGGATTCACTTGAGGTTGTGGGAAAAAAATGAAGAGTTTTTTGTTTGTTTGTTTTTGTTTTTGTATCCTTTACCCACTGGTCCCATATACTGACATCTTGCAAAACAATAAAACAAGATCCAAATCAAGATATTAAAATGATATAATTGACCAATCTTATTTAGGTTTCCACAGGTTTACTTGGGCAAATAGGTGTGTATGAGCATGCTTAGTTCCATACAATTATGTCAGCTGAGCATAGTCTTGTGTCCATTACAATAATCAAAATGCTGATCATTTCCCACATCATGAGGACCCCATGTGTTGCCTACCTACAACCAAACCTCCCTCCCTCCAGTGCTTCTCCCCAAACCTCTGGCAATGATGACACTGTTGATCTAAACTTTTGTCATTTCAAGAATGTCATATGAATGGAATCACACAGAATATAAGCTTTTGAGATTGACTTTTTGTCTATGACTGTGATTTTCTGGAGACTATTTAAACTGTTGCATTCACCAAGTCTATTCATTTTCATGGTTGAGTAGTATTCCATTCTATAAGCACATCACCCTTTGTTTTATGGTTCTCTTCTGGAAGGACCTCACTGGATGGTTCCCAGATTGGGGCTATTACAAATTATGCTAAATTATGCTGCTATGAGAATTTGTAAGCAGGTTTTATGTAGGCAGATGTTCAAATTTATAGTATAAATACATGGGTATAATTTGCAAGGATTATGGTAGCTATTTATTTAATTTTATAAAAAAATCTGCAAAACTCTGTCCTTTATACACTGGTGTATAAGTGACCATTCTTCAGCACTCTTACCAGTATTATGTGTCACCATTGTGTTTTTTTTTTTTTTGAGAGGTTTTTGCTATAGGGCGCGTGCGCTTGCCAGACAGACAGAGAGAGACATAGAGACAGAAAGCGAGAAATCACCCCCGGGATGGTCACGCCGCAATCCCTTCTCCTCCATTTTCCTCTCGGGATCTTGGGCACGCACGCACACGCGCCTGGCGTGAGTTCTAAGCCACCAGGTCCGGGACACGAACCGCGGTCGACTACGTGGGAATCCAGCGACATAGCCATTACGCCAACTGCTGGTTCCCTCACCACTGTGTTTTGTTAGTCTATAATTTGAGATTGCTTTTAGCCACAACACAATCCTCCCTTTCTGAGTATAGATAAATACAAGTAATTTTTCTTCTTAGAGTCTTAATGTAGAAATGCTATTTAGAGGCCAGAATCAGAGGAAACTATCACGAGCCCATATGGTAAACATATATAATGTGCTAATAAAGATTGTCAGATAAACTCAGCATACTAATTCTATGAAATGTTCTGGTATATTTAGCAGACAAGAACAGACTTTCTTTAAAGTTGCATCTGAATCCCAACATGGAAGTAAAAATGTTATAGTTGAAGAGACATTATATTCTAAATTATTTAAATAATGACTAAAATTGAAAATTGAATGTTCTGTATTCAAGTACCAACATACATGCTCACTTGATTGTGGAAATCTTTTTAGTTGACACATACCCAAATTAACAGAATTTTTATAGTTATACAAAATATCAAATATGCATTATTAGGTGAATCATCAAGTGCATTTCATGAGTAACTGAGAGCACTTACCCACTACTTCTTCAGTGAACTTGTGTAGTCCTTACCAGATGGTTATAATGTTACACTTAAGTCAGTTTTCATTAAAGAATGACTGAAATATGATACAGGTGTTTCTAATTCTGCTCATCCTGTTTAAAAGCAATTAGCGTAATGGCCATGTCAGTGAACTCCCATGTAGTCGTCCACAGTTCGCATCCCAGACCCGGTGGCTTAAAACTCACACCGGACGCGAGTGTGTGCGTGCCCAAGATCCTGAGAGGAGAATGGAGGAGAAGGGATTGTGGCGTGGCCATCCCCCTGGGGGGTGATTTCTCACTTTCTTTCTCTCTGTTTCTGTCTGTCTGGCGAGTGCACATGCCCTGTAGCAAAAACCTCTCAAAAAAACCAAACCCAACCCAACCAAAACAAAACATAAACATTGAGAAACCAACATAAGAGATTTACTAATTTTAGTATCTTTAAATATTTTATTTTAAAGTTTTTAAATTAGTTTAAAATGCATTTTACTCATCAGAAATCCAGTGCAATAGGCATAATATGATATTCATTTTAGAAAGAGAATTATGTTAGTACTGTTTAGGACACGTTTAAAGAAAGAGATTTGAACCTAGGAAACTGGTCATGAGGCTCATTAATAATTCTGGTAAGAAAGTAAAAGGGCACAAATGATGGGAAATGACCTGAGTGAGCTTCTTAGATGCCATTGATAATTTAAGGTCCTCTAACCCACCTCCCACCTGGATCACACACCTTCCCCCCTCCATTTTTCATAATAGTCATGAAGTCTGCATTACGTATCTTTACCATCCCTTTGAGTATTAATGGTACAGTTAATAACAGTTTGATTGATGAGTGTCAATTCAACCAAACCCTGGTTATCTTAGGGTCAAAAGAGACCCTTTTTAATGTGACTGACTCACAACGATCCACAGTAAAGCACCTGAGACCGGATAGTCTAGTTAGAATTCACCATCAGTACTGTTGATTACAGAGAAAGCAAGCAAAGTTTATGTTGAATACACACATCGAAGAATTAAGTTCAGTAGGACACGTTCACAGTAGCTTTCCATAGAAACTCTGCATCCCTATTTTCTGTATTCAAGTTAACCATGTGCTGAATGCCGTCACACACTAAAATTTGTTTTCCTGAATGCACAGGTACCTCTGTTCTACAGGTGACAGCTACTGATGCGGATGATCCTACCTATGGCAACAGCGCGCGAGTGGTGTACAGCATTCTCCAGGGACAGCCCTACTTCTCCGTAGATCCTAAGACGGGTGAGTGTATTTACTTATATTTTATGTGCAAGTGTTTGCTGCAAAGAAAAAAAAGCTATAGTTTTATTGTTTTTATTTCTATATGACCTTCTACGTCAATGATTATTATATTAATATATTTTTAAAATGCCCTTACTTTTTCTAAAACTATGTAACTGAAGAATTGAAGATTAATTAACTGCTTTTTGCATTATTTTGATTTTTCATTATTTATATGCATACCAGTAGAAAGTTACCTACCTTTGAATATTCCTACAACATTTAAATACTCTGTGTTTAAAACAAATATGAAGCATTGCATACACTGAGATTTTCAAATGTATTATTTGTACTATTTATATATTAGTTTTAATACCTTGCCAAGGAGGGTAAATAATTTATTATAGTTTTACATAACTTATTTGAATTTGTCACATAAATCATAATATACACATACTTACATATGCATATATAAAATGATATTACATGGGAATAGTTACTGTGTATTGAATTGACATTTTTTTCATCATGAGCAAGTTCTTCAACCCTCACTATGTTATATAAAAGAAAGTAACTCAGCAAAATTCCAAAGACATATAATATTTTTAGGAAAAACAGAACTTCTGCTCTCTTTTTCCCTTTATACTGACCAAAACAGTTAAATCAGATTATGCCAAAATGAGGATATATTCAATAATGCATCATTACAGCAAGATAATCCAGAAAATATAAAGTAAAAATGTCCTCATTGGCAACCAAATTGTTACTGAAAACTTGGGTAAATGAGACCCATTTTCAATTGAGGAAAGTATTCAGTAGCAAACCAGTCTCAAATTCTACTAAAGCATCTAGAATCCACGCAATCAGGACACATGGAGCAGGGAGGAGAGGTCGAGGATGTCCCAGGAACCCCTCCGCACCCCCGTCCCCATTCTTTCTGACCACACCTGAAGTCCACTGCATCATATTTTCTTTGGGATCTTCATGTAAATGGCTCAAGCCCAGAACTAACAGAAGAGATCTATGTTAGGTCATTGGTCATCAATACTCTTAGTCATTTAATTACATAGCGTACAAAACATTTTTCAGGGATTTTGCTCCTTAAATCTTCAGCTCTTAGGTTCATTTACCATTGTTCTAGACAATGAGGTACATTCAACTACAAAGATGTTGTTCATAAACATGTTCTTCTTTTTTTTTTTTTTTTGAGAGGTTTTTGTTATAGGGCGTGTGCACTCGAAAGACAGAGAGAGACAGAGAGACAGAAAGTGAGAAATCACCCCCCACCCCCCAAAGGGGGATGGCCACACTGCAATCCCTTCTCCTATATTCTCCTCTCAGGATCTTGGGCACACATGCACATGCGCCCAGCATGAGTTTAAGCCACGGGGTCCTGGACTTGAACCACGGTTGACTACATGGGAGTCCAGTGACATAACCATTACACTAACTGCTAGTCCACATAAATACGTTCTTAATGGCTGATACCACTGAGTTGTTTGCCTGGAGTTTTGTTGTTACCAGGTTTACAAGAGAATTTAACTAGGTCTGGAACCAGCAGATGATGTAATGGTTCTATCACTGGACTCTCACGTAGTTGACCATGGTTCAAGTCCCAGACCCGGAGGCTAACAACTTAGGATGGCTTCCTGTGCATGCACAGCCAAAATCATGAGAGGAGACTGGAGGAGTAGGGATTGCGGTGTAGCCATCCCATTGTGGGGGTGATTTCTCCCTTTTTTTTTTTCTTGTTTTCCTTTGCTCTGACAAGGTCATGCACTCTATTGCAAAAATCCCTCACTCTCAAAAAAAAAAAAAAAAAAAAAAAAAAACACCGAGATTTCTTGCCTTCTTTCTGCTCCTGAGGTACACTAACATGTAAGCACATTGACCACAATAGATCTCAGACACTTTCATTCTTTTCTTCTCTTAGCTTGAGAAGAAAACAACAAAGAACAGACATAGATCTAGAAACAAAAATATACACATAACATATATTATGTGTATATTGTATATGCATCATAATAATAGAATAACTTATAATTTATAGTTAAATATGCATCATCATAATAGAATAGCTTATAATTTATACTTAACTGGGAGATGATAGAACAGTACGATGTGCCCTAAAATAAGTATAGGACTTGCAAGTTCTTTTATTTCCAAGATATCATTAAATATGAAGGGTCTTCCAAATGTTCATGAAAAATGCATATTATGAAACCCAAGGACTTTCTAAAGTCCCTTTATATGTAGAAAAAAACAGTTTATTAACCCAGTAATCAAAGTACTAAAACAAAAAGTCTACATGTATTTGTGTACACATTATTGTTTCAGCAGGGAAACTGTAATAGTCAAAAATCTTAAGTCAATTTATTATCTGATATTGGTATTATTCATTTTCTCCACTTTTCCAATAACCAGGTTTGTGTCAAATACAAAGGAAGTATATTTACTCTTTTAAATACGTATCTTTCAAGGAAAAAGAAACAAGGAGAACTCAATGTTCCAATAGCCTTAAGATTATATACATGCTTAAGCACTTATATGTGTGTATAAACATTACATACATGTAAACTTAGATTTTAGTTCATTAACCAACCTTATACACAACAAATGTCTATTTCTAGATCATTGTTATATTTATTTAATGTAATATTGCTAAGATAGAGACATCTTACATGAATTATTTTAAGCGTATTATTGATCAACAAACAAATATGAAATCTGTGTGTGTCTATGTGCTTGCACGTGTGAATATTTGCATATTATGTGAACTCATGAATTTATGTGTGTGTGCACTTGCTTGAAAAAAGCAGGCCACTAAGGACAATGTTTGTCTGGTATTAGACTTTGCTGTGATTTTTGATTTAGTGGAAACAGATTTATTAATAGCATAATATTTCAGCAAAATCGAATATAACTATGCTTATTTATTACAGGTTAAATAATCAACTCATTAAAAGTAAAAAGGTTGTCTCAAACATAAATGTTCAAATGCTATTCTATAAAATCTTTTGCTTTTGCATTTCATTGATCCTCTCTTTAAGTGGTCTGATATAGGGAATACAATGCATATCTCCACATTGATATGTGTTATTATCAGTATCGTATTGACTAATGCACCATGGCTACCTATGAATATATGTCTTATTATCTCACTGATGAAAGAAAGTGTTTTTAACAATCCCTTAAATATGCAAATATCTTAGTTATCTGTAGAAAGTGCTAAGAAGGGTTTTAAAATAAAATGCCCATTATTTTCTTCCAAACTACCTTTTTTGGTAATTTGTGTTTAAAAGCTCAACTACTATGTAATGAGACATGCCCAGAACTAATAAATTGAGTTGAAGTTATGCTCTAAGATAAGTGGAATAAAGCACAAGCAAATACTGAAAGTGTAAAAGTCAGTTACTGTGAATAGAATGTTGTCTAAGAATTGTGGTGTTAGTCACTGTAAACATGGATTTTAATATCACTTAGTCCACTTGCCCAATTGGAATGATTCTATCAACATGTTTCCAATTACTTTCACTCACGACAATTATAATGAAACATAATTTTTGGCTTAAATAAAGTTGTAAGTGCTTATCACTAAGATCAATATCTGGATCGCTTTGTTTCTATTATGTTAAAAAGGTACATTTTGTTATAAATGATGATTTTTCTCTGAGAAACTGCCAAGGAGATCTTGGCCTGCTATTTTATCAACCATCTATGAATATCCGTATCCAAAGAAATGAATTATGTGACTGTTAGATTATTATATGATACAGAGTTGGTTTAATAATGTCTACATTTCTTTACACTGAAATTCCCACTAATCAGTATGGTGACACACAAAGCTTGTGGATAATTTATTGTTTTAAATAACTTTTGTTGGAGTAACCATTTCATGATGTCCGCCCAATGTATAATGACAAAAGAGAAGAAGTGATGTTTTTACATTATCATTTGAAATGTGCAGAAGGCTATGGCAATAGAATATAAGAGAAATATGCTACTTCTAGCCCTGTTTCAATGTAACGTTTTATAACATTAGTAAGTGAAAGAAACAGTTTACTGTATTAGAGAAAACCTGCTGAGTGAGTCTTATTATGTGGTCAAAGAACCAAATTCAAAAGAAAGCTGGTGTGATGGCTGTTAATTAATATGATTCAAATCTCAATCCTAGTGCAATTAATACAGTGTCAACTGTGTTAAATATAAATTAATATACTCCATATTTGCATGTTTTCCATGATACTGAAATTTCGGTAAGTGACACTAGAGGCTGAATGATTGAGTTGCTATTGCAAAGAAACTAGAGTTCTGAACTTAGGTCAAAGACAGAGCCAGAAACCTATGAGGTACATTCCAGGGTCTTAGAGACCAAATGGGAAGATTACAGAGGAGGGGCTATATAGGGGCCAGCAGGTGACATGGTGGTTAAGGTGCTGGATTCCCACATGGCTGACTGCAGTTTGAGTCCTGAACCTGGTGGCTTACCTCTTTTCTCTCTTTTTCTCTCTCTCATGAGCACACATGCCTTATAGATAATTAAGAAATAACAATAAGAATAAAATTAAATAAATAAAAAATTATAAAAAAAAGAAAAAAAGAGGGGTTAAACAGTTTTAACTGGAGAATAAAATCTGTTGATGGCCATTACTTTGCTAGCCATTCGATGATTTTCTCTTCTAACTGTTCTGTAGTCAATAACTTATGAAGTACTTTATGCTATTTTTTGCTAATACATATGAATTAAGTTATCCCTTTGTCTATTTCACACAAGTAATACATTGAATTTTCCTGTTCATTAATTTAGGAAACCTGAAAACTTGGATTAAAATCTGATTTCAGTTAATACTTTCTTTAATTTTGAGAATTTTTTATTTAATTATATTTATCATTTTCATTTTTAAACTTACTACAGAGCACGTGAACTCACTAGACAGAGACAGAGTGAAAGAGAGAGAGAAGAAACAGAGGGAAAGTGAGAAAGCAAGCCTCCAGGAACGCAACTTGAGCTGCAGTCAAGC